CACTGTTCAAGGTTGAGGAGAGGAAATGAGTTGTTTACTGAGCAGAAGGAAAGCAAGGACAAGCTAAGCTGACTCTTCGCAGACAGAGTTCTCTAATTAGAGCTTTAAAAATGACTTAAACTATTATCAATCAATAGAACATGGAACATAATCAAGGGATCTTAATATTGGCTAAAACTCTCTTAAAAATACTTCTTAACAGCTCAAAACTAAGTAGCAATATATTATATAGTCTCCTTGTCTACTAATACGACAGAAATCTGACTACTGTTAACACTGTGAGCCCAAATTTTGTATTTTTAAATAGCCTTACCATAGCATGAAAATGAATTTTGAAGTTTGATACAGGTTTATAGCCTTCCATCTATACAGGAAATGACATATATTCATTTCCACAGAATTGTACTTCTCCCTCACAGCTTGTAGATAAATTACCATGTTACCAGCTCTCCATTTGTCTCAAAAGACAATGGGTTATTCTATCACTCCCTGTCTCCAACTGAGCACTTAGAAAAAATGTTGCTTAGCTCATAAGCCATTGGGGCAAACATCTAATCATATCCTAGACTAGTTTAGAGGCGGTGTCAGTTAACAATTGTTGCATCCACTTAAAAAGCAGGGCATCTAAGTATGAACAGGAGAAAGATGTGGCAGTCTGCTTCCGTAAAGATTTACAGCCTTGGAAACTCTATGGGCCAGTTCTACTCTACCCTATAGGGTTGCTATAGGGTAGCTATGAGTAGGGATCAACTTGATGGCAAAGGGTTTGTTTGTTTTTTTTTGACTAAGTATGAAGGTTGTCATAGAATCTTCATCTTTTGTATATGTATCTACCAAGAAATTAAAAGTAATTTATTGTCAAAGAAATAGCAAAAATTAGGCACACACAGTAATAGAAAAACAATAATAATAACAAACTAGGGAGTCTTGCTACGCTCATTCAACTGGCTCCAGCAATAAGATCTTAAGAAGACAATTATCTTGGTAAAAAGGTCAAAAGCTGTTACCTAGTATTTTAACTTTAAACAGTAGTGCTTTGTAAAAACTTAAGAATCTCACATATATCGAAAGATGAGTTAGTTATATATGTATACCGTAGTTAAGGCCTGGTGCCCTAGGGGCACAGTGAATAAGCACTCAACTGCTAACTGAAAGGTAAGTTGTTCGAACCCACCAGCTGCTTCTCTGGAGCAAGATGTGGCAGTCTGCTTTTGTGAAGATTACAGCCTTGGAAACCCTATGGGATGTTTCTACTCTGTCCGGTAGGGTTGCTACGAGTCAGGATCGACTCGATGGCGATGGTAAGGTAGCAGTCGGAATTGACTCGATGGCAGTGGGTAGGGTAGTATAGTTAAGGCCTAGGATATGTAACCATAATTTAAATAAAAATAAGCCTCTCCTTTAACATGTCTCTTCACTGTTTAGAATTGCTGCAACTTTTGGATTATGTCTAAACTCAAGGACGAAATTTTGGAGAAATGAAATAATCCACATTTCCATTTTTACCTAATATCTGAATGGTTACAGTTATTCTTAAAGAGCTTTTAATTTAAGTGAATAATATATTTATCCTTGTATGTTTGACTTAAATCTACCTCAGTCATATCTGAAAAAGTCATCGAAGAGTATTTAATATAGTTCTGTCAAAATATGAGTCAGTATTTCTATCTATGCTATTGTAGCAGAAATATATTAAATACTCTTATTTTAGATTTTTTTAATTTTATATGAGTGGGGTAGATTTTGCTAGATATTGAACAAAGTTTTTTCTGTTTATTGTAGTTATATAAAGATATTTTTGACACTTAATTGTTAACAGTGTTTGGATAAGATATAAATCAGTATTTTTTCAATAAATAATTGAACAGTTGTGGGCCCCCATCTAGGTGTAAAATTTGTTGATATACAGTCTATAATTATGAAGATGGACACTAACATGTAAATCAGAAACAACAAAAATCTATCTATCTACCTATCTATCATCTATCTATCTGTTTTTCTGACTACCTATTTAGTTTTCCTCAAGCTGCTGTTCCTTGGGGGAAACTTGACCTTTGATTTTCTTAGTGTATGACTGGTCCAGTAACTGTTCAGTGTCTATTCTGTGTCAGGAATATTGCCAGGTGCTAGAATATAGAGGTAGACAAGATAATCTTGGTCATTACTAGCACGTGGAACTTGGATTAGTGGAAAACACGATTTAAAACAAATTTTTTTAAATTATAATATTGACAATTTTTACAAAAGAAAACTCCCTTGTGCTACTAGCATTATGGAAAGATACCTCTGTGTGCTATATGAAAAATGGATTGGAAGAAACAAGGGTGGATGTTGCAAATGCAGGATTAGGAGGTTCTTATTATCTTGATGGAGCACCTAGGTAGTGCAAAGGGTTAATACCCTGCTTCTAACTGAAAAGTTAGAGGTTTGAGTACACCTTAAGGTACTTCGCAAGAGATACTTGGCAATCTATTTGTGAAAAAACAGTCATTGAAAATCCTGTGAAGCACAATTCCATTCTGACACTTATGGGATCGCCTGATTTCTGCCATAACTTACTGTGCCTTTTGGACACTGATTTGGTGTACTGAGATGTTCCCACTAGGGTGAGGCTTGGCCACAAAAGTAGTTTACATCTCTTTCATGGACCATTCTAGGCTCCCTTCCATTTCTAGCTCAATCTTTGCTTTGTTACCTGCTACGATCTGAAGTGCCAATGTTCTTTTTGCTCAAGACAGCCTGAATCTGAACAATATATTTAAGCATTATATAACTGTACCTTAAGCATACCAATATATAATACCTTTACATTTCCATAAGAAATAATTGATATAATAAAATTGTCATATATATATTATATATAGTAAAACATAGTATTGTAAACTATCTCTTGCTATTTCTAATGATCTGTTTGCCTATGACTACATATTAAAAATATTCTTCATATTACCTGTGAAAATAGCTCTGTAGATGCACTATTATGTCTTGATTTATTGACGATTTATGTGTAAAACCATTAACATAGAATGTAAGTTACAGAAAGTACAAAAATACTATTAATCTGACATGGACTAAAAGCTAGGATAACAATCATGATAATGTTGTGTGCTTCTGCATTACTTAAGCTGCTCATCTCCCTGCACTTAAAATAGGTATGCTTATTTAAATATAATTTTGCATCATAAATGTATCCTAGACTGAATTATTTATGCTTCTTCCCACAAACAACATTTCAATATATTATACAGTAAAGTTAGAAGAGAATATGTGAGTGAAATACCATTTAATTAGCAGCATTTATATCAGATATTCAAGGTAAAAGTTGGAGCCCCATCATGTTCTTCTTTTTTGTCATTTCTCACAAGAATTTTGGAGCGGAAAATGTGAGTGAGCTGTCAGTTTAATCACAATATGCTTTAAATATATGATTGTATGTTCATTTGTATAAAAGTATAAATCTTGTTTATTTTGATTCTGATCACTGCCCCCATGTTACACCTATAGTTTCTAATTTCACAGGACAAGCGAATGTTGATCTGCAAATGTGGTGAGTTTAATGCCCTTTTCTATGCACATATAGCCATAAAGCTACAGTACATTTCACAGAGTAGCAATACTAATAAGCATAGTTCTGTATTTTATCCGTGAAGTGGCTTAAGTTTGAGCAGAGTCTGTTTACCAAAACCTATCTCTTGCTAATGGTCTATCCTCAGGAAAGAAAAAAAAAATCACATACCCTCAGAAAAAATAATCAGAGGTAAAAATGAGCCCTTTTCTTCCAGTAACTACCACTTAGAAGCATGATTATAAAGACTGTAATTTCTTAATATCAAGAGGAAAATGATAATGGTCCTTAAATGGTGCGAGTTAGGATACTGTCATCCCAACACCCAGGAAGTTTTAGGTCGATATGTGTACACGCAAACCAGTTAAAATGTGAACTGAAGAACATTATGCTGCTTAGCTAGTGAAATACTTACCACTCTCTGGATTTTTTCCTTTGGACATGCAGATCAACAGGGCTCACGATTGTAGCTTCTATGCCACTCTGGGCTCTAAAGCGATAATATGGAGTTATCATGGTATTTAGCAGAAGTAATAAATAAGCTTTTGCAATAAAGCCACAGGGAGTTCTTAGATTGTTTCCACAGAATAACTGCCAACCTTTTGGTTAACAGCCAAACACTTAACCACTGTGCCACCAGGGCTCCACAGAATAACTTAGCCTACCTCAACTGATAAAATAATTTCCCCTAACAATCCCTATTCCCATTTACCTATATATCATCATGGGGAATTATTATGTAATAGGAAAATCACCAAAGTCTGCTCACTAACTCTATACCTTACTACACATGACATAAGATTTCCAAACGATGCACAGCCCTTAAAGACAGCTAAGCTAGATCCATGCCGGGAAGAGTCTAGGTTTTTAGACCAAGCGTGAAGCTGAGGTGCCTTTCCGCTCGAGTCTTTGTGCATGTCATTTTTAAGAAGAAATGAGAGATGATATATATTTCCACCATATACCAGGATTATAGAAAATAAATATAGTTCTAATAATTCTGTCTTACATTGAGAAAGGTATGTCATAAAACTAAGTCCATGACTCTCCACTGAAGAGGCAGAAGAACAAACAAGAGAGGATGAATAGAACATATGAATAAAATATCCAATTTTTAAAAAAGAATTAACAAGCATATATGTTTAATAAATTACTCAAAACTTTGATTTAGCCAACCTTTTAAATAAATCAAGGACAAATGTAAAGATAACTTGTGAGAAACACTGTAGGGCTTTAAGTAAATATTAATTAAAAAAATAAAGAAGAAGAAAGAATGTAGGCAGGAAAGAAAGGAAGAAGGAAGGAAGGAAGAGAATGTAGCTGTAAGAGTTGAATTTACCTTTCTTAAATTATGCAGTTTTTACGATTGTTGGAATTAGGCAGTGGTGTCATTTGCATTGTCTTTTTCACTCTAATGGTGCCCTTGGGGTCTTACCTCTCTACATAATCTAGTAGCCGGGAACAGTGATTTGAAGCTGGAGCATCATGACCTCCTACTGCATAAAGAAAACCATCACATGTGGCCACTCCAACACCTCCTCGCCTCTTACACATTGGAGCACACATGTTCCACTTGTTTGTATGAGGATCATAATATTCCATTGAACTCAAACAGGAACTTCCATCACGACCTCCAACTGAATATAACCTAAAAACAATTGGAAAAACATGATTTAATACTAGAATCAGGATGACAAAATGTATAAAAGGAAATGTCATTTAAATATAAATTTCAATCACAATATGAATCTAAAATGCTTTGCTTTGGAAATATATTACTTTACATGCAGATTTTTGAAAAGATAATCTTTAAATTATTAAGTATACATAGAATTTTCATTATTCCAACATGCAGAATACTAAATAGAATGAGATACAACTATATTTTTCTAACATCCATTGTTTCTAGGAAGTTATATAGATTTAAATTGTTTATTGTGAATATTGATAATATTAATTTGAATAAATGTTTAGGAATGTCAATCTGAACTATAGAAAAAACATACTTTTTTCTCGAAAATGAAATCGGAAGAAAACGAATGGTATTATTTGTTGATCAGTAATTATTTGCCAGTGTGTAAATCATCTCTACCCATGAGTTCTCTCCTCACAATTTAGAAAAACAAATAAATGTACTAATCTAAACGAGTGCTTCCACAACAACAGCTCCCTTAGTCAGTGCCTGTACTCTAGTTTACGTACATAGACAGGCAAGACTTTATTAAAAAACAAAACCAAACAGTGCAATGATAATACTCTGACCAACAGAGTAATGCTAAAACTTACTTGACACACTTATTTTGTTATAATTATTTTATTAGTGAGAAGTGTGATAGGAACCCAGGAAAACAAGCACTGAAGTTACAAATGGTATTTAAATGACTTAAAATGCAGTGCACATTCCTAATAAAATAGTTCTTGCCTATTTGGCTGTAGTCATGAAGATTTGATCATATAAGGCATAGAGCTGGACAGTTATTCAATGCACTTATTCATTCACTCAATCATTCTCAAATATTTTTGAGGGCCTAGTATATATCACACTCTATCCTAAGTTTATGGATATAAAACCAAAACCCGTTGCCATTGAGTCTGACTTCATAACAACCCTATAGGACAGGGTAGAACAGCCCCATAGGGTTTCTAAGGAGTGGTTGGTGGATTCCAGCTGCTGACCTTTTGGTCAGCAGCTGAGCTCTTAACCACTGCACCACCAGGGCTCCATGTTTACGGATATATCCATGGACAAAATAGGAAAAAAAAAATCCCTGTACTCATTTCTAGTGAGAATAGGTGAATAACCCAACACAAATACATATATTACACAGTACTTTATAAGGTGCTGAGTGCTACAGACATTGATAGAGCAGGGAAGGAGGATCAGGAGTGTAGCTAGTGTGTGTAGGGGTTGTGATTGCAATTTTAGTTACATAATTGAGTAATTAAGGCCTTGCCATAAAGGAGATGTTTGTGCAAAAACTTAGAGAAGTTTTTTAGTAGGAGATATGGATGTAGACATCTCTAGGGGAATAGGATTCAAGGCAGCCTCAACAGTAAGTACAAAGTTCCAGGAGCAGCACAGAAGCTAGAGTGTCTGGAACAGAGTGATTGAGGGGTGTGTGGCAGATGATGTGAAAGGTGATGGGGATGGGAGGTAAACAGCTCACGCTGGTGCGTACAGATATTTATCCCGAGAGAAATAGGAAGTCACGGGCATTGTTTTGACAATTTTTGAATAGAGGGCTAAATGAGTTACTTATAAATAACATTAGAGATTATAGAAATTTCTCCTTTATTAGTGGATATGATCCTTAGTATATTGTTAAAGACATTTAATTTCATATTTTTCAGTTTCTAAATAAATACACAGAGGACATTTTCGTTGTTGTTGTATGTAAGATCTTATTGTTGTTAGGTGATATCGAGTCAATTCTGACTCATAGTGACACTACAGGACAGAGTAGAGCTGCCCCATAGGGTTTCCTAGGCTGAAATCTTTACAGGAGCAGATCACCAGGTCTTTTCTCACAGAATGACTGGTGGGTTAGAATCCTGACCTTTCAGTTAGCAACTGAGTGCTTAATCATTGCACCACATGGATACTTATATAAGATTTTAGATTTACAAATTGTAATATCTTTTAATAACCCTAAAATATGCTGTTTAACCAGATCTCAAATTCTGGAGACATGTTTAAAAAATAAAAAAAGGCTGTTTATGTTTCTATAATGCCTACCATAATAAAATGTTTCTGACTGCCCAAGTATTCTTTTATGGATATAATGCTCCTTTGCTTGAATGTGCACAAGTTATCTGCGGCTCTCAATCTCGCAAAATATTAAGATTAACCAACAGAAGCATTTTAAAGGGAATGTATTGGAGAATTTAGCTTGCAACAGCACCCAGAAGTGAAATAATTATTCACTCAGAAGATTTTATCATTTTAAACACTTCATGAAACCTGAATTGCATTGATTTCTCTGTTTCATTTAAATTGAAGCTGTAACTCAAAAGAAATATTTTATAATCTTATGATCTTAAAATTAAGATTTAACACAAACATGTTTGCAGGGATTTCACTAATTGGTTAAGTAACTTTATACAAGGCACCTCAGTCCCTGGTACATAGTTAGTATGTAAAAAAATATATACACTGTCTTTCTTCCATTGTTTTAATGGCAACGTTGACTTCAAGCTGCTCTATTTATTCATACACATTCCACTGATAAATTCTATTATTGATTTATCTGAAACTAGTATCTCTAATAAGAAAAAAATATTTCTAATCAATATTTCTAATCAATAATATAAGCATTTTCTTTCTAAAATTATTTACTATTGATCATATACTCAATTTAATACTTAAATGTATATTAAAAGCAATGGTAAATAATTAGAATGTTATAGGTTAAAGGAAATTTGCCCCATAAAAAATCTCATTATGCAAGAGGAATAAGTGAGTGATGAATATTCCACATTTTCCCTCCCTCAGATTATCGGAAATAATATGTTAAGATTATTAAACACACATATTATAGAAGATGAATATTAAATGTTCTAGCATTATCTTTTATTTGGAAATAAAATGTTCCTTCCAAATTCAAGGTTATGACTTACATAATTGCATTAATTATAAACCACTATTCATTCAGTCTCTCCTCCTTCTGCATGACCCTTCCCATGATAAAACCCAAGAGTACAAGGACTTATACAAGCAAGAAATGTATGCAAAGCTTGGATAAAAATGAAATAATACTTTACAGTTCCTTTTGTAAAATAAATGTTTGGTATCTGGTAGATGTTATTTTATAAATGACTTTCTAAAGCCTAGGGTAGGTGATGATTTCTTTGTTTTTTAGTGGTTTCTTCATTTGACCTATATTGTGCCTTTTAGTCCTTCCTAGTGTGATATGTTCTGCAGATTAAAAAAAAAGTTAAAATTTAATAATATAAATATTAATATTAGAGTATAACTAGGTAAAAAAAAAAATGCACCATGAATTTTTCCTCAAAAGAGCTTTGGAAAAAATTTGGATAATTGTAATTTGTATCAAAGAAATAATAGTGTTATTTTAGCCTGATTCATGTATCCACTACTAAAACCAGCAGACATATTTCAATACTAGCAAAGAGTTTGAATATAATGTAGTGTATAAATATATGCAATCAATATTATCTGTAATCCATTTATTTGGAAACATAAATTAAGTGACTAAGAACTAGAATGTAAAAATAGAGGATGATGACAATAGTAATTACTTTTATTTTTGTTAAAGTTACAAAAATAACTTCGGGACAGAAACAAAAATCTCGAAGAAGTCAGAATAAATGCTATAATGAACGTGCAAAATTTCATGAACAATCATCACAGGTTATCTTCTTAGATCGTCCTTCACAACCTATTTAGTCATATTTTATACTAATCACCCTCTTTGTTTCACTACAATGACAAATGAGATGTCGAGAACCGGAAGAACAGAGAAGAACCTGATGCTGGAAGTAAATGTACTGACAACATAGGAAGTGACAGCTGACAGCTTCACAGTAAGAAAGGAGCTGTGAATTTTAACCTAGAGTTGAAAGATGAGTAGAAATTTGCAAGATGAAGAACTAAGGGGAAAACATTACATACAGGGACAGAATCATGTATAAAGACAAGGAGCATGAAAGGTCATAGAAGGTGATAGAGTGGCAGGTGTGTTGTGTTGATGGAATGGATGGTACTGAAGAAGGGGAGGAAGAGATGCAGCTGACAGGATGGAAAGATACACTGTGAATGAAGGGTGTTGTATGCCATGCTATTGTGAAACAATGAGAAAAGAATAGGAAAAAAAAAAAAAAGACAGAGAGAGAATATTCTTTAGGATTATCAGGAGGCTACCTTCACAGTTCAGTTTCCAATCAATGTTGTCCAGTATATTCCTTGAATGTCAAGAACTGGCAGGAGATCCAGTAGTATTCCTGACATAATTGACTTTTCTAAAACTTTGCTGAAAATGGCAATAATCTTACAATACCAACAACATTGTGAGTTTTCCCGAACATTTTCCCCAACCTGTGTACTTAATCGGCATGCAGATCAGTTTTACACAATGTTTTGCCACTAGCTTTCCAGCTTCAGTGTCGTGAGACATCTCTGTCAAATGCCCACCTAAATTAGTGCCACATTTTATATTCTATTACACACAATGTAGCATTTCTAAGAAACACATCTACATTAGTTAGCATTTATGTTTAGATGTGTGTTAAGAGTAGTTTTGCAATTGTTGAGACCCAGGCTGCATCCCTCTTTTTACTGCATCAATTCTAGAGTATGACCCATTGTCAAGAACTGTGAAGGTCTGAAATCTCACTCTCCTTGCAAACCAACAGTAGTCTGCTATAGTTTCATGGGTGCTAGCAGAAGACACAAACCTTCTGGATCGGAGAGAAATTATTACTCACAGCACAGCAGGCAGCATGAGCTTCATTTTTGTATTGGTTCCCCTTGTGCCCCCCCAGGTTCCACCAGGATGATCAGAATGACTCAGGTGAATGTTGCACACAGAGCAGATCTGTTCCATATCTGAGGAAACCTGAGTTTAGGGAATACCAATCCTTTAAAAGGGGCTATTAGCAAGTGGTGGTCCAGTGGTAGAATTCTCACCT